ATGTGAAGACTGTTGAGCTGTTTCCCAGTTGTTCTTATCCCTACTTTTATTTATATATTTAGAAATAAAGTATATTTAAATATTTCATTTTTAAGTTCAGGACAATCTCAGATTTAGTGAGTCATCAAAAAAAGGCAAAATATATGGAAATATTATATTTACACTGGCTTGGTTTATTTATTGAGATCAATACAGATAGCCACATGCCAGAAGCCTTTAGAAAGCATTTTGGAAATGAAATAGAAATTGCTCTTTTATAATACCCTCCTTGGATACCATATGGACTTCAACACATCTCAAAAATGACAATGAGGTGGGTACAGTGACTCACATCTGTAATCCCAGCACTTTGGGAGACTGGGGCCAGTGAATTGCTTGAGCTCAGGAGTTTGATACCAACCTGGGCAACACAGCAAAACCATGACTACAAAAAATACTAAATATTAGCTGGGTATGGTAGCACATGCCTGTAGTCCCAGCTACTCAGGAGAGTGGGGGCAGGAGGATTGCTTGAAATTGGGAGATTGAGCCTGCAGTGAGCCAAGATTCCACCACTGCACTTCGGCCTGGGTGACAGAGTGAGACCTTGTCTGGAAAAAAACAAAAAACCAAAAACCTTCCTTTTTTTTTTCCTTTCCCTCCTCCTCCCCTCCCCTCCCCTCCCTTTTCCTCTCCTTTCTTATGAGACAGGGTCTCATTCTGTTGCCCAGGCTGGAGTGCAAGTGGCACCATCACAACTCACTGCATCCTTGACCACCCAGCCTCAAGTGATCCTCCTGCCTCAGCCTCTTGAGCAGCTGGAACTACAGGCATGCACCACCATCTGGCTAATTTTTGTATTTTTTGTAGAGGACGGGTTTAGACCTGTTGCCTAGGCTGGTGTCAGAATCTTGGGGTCAAGTGATCTACCCACTTTGCCCTCCCAAAGTCCTGAGATTATAGGAGAAAGCCACCACATACAGCCATACACAATTTTCTTTTTATGACCTTGAATAAGTTACATCTTGGGCCACCGTTTTCTCATCTGTACAATGAGAGCTGTTTTTCTAAGATTTTGACTGTCCTCTCCAAATCTAACACAGAACCTCAGAAACCCAATGGAACAACAGTTACATAGTAGAAATTCATCTGGTAGCTACTTAACTGACAATATAAAAAACTAATTGGGCTGGGCATGGTGGCTCACACCTGTAATCCCAGCACTTTGGGAGGCTGAGGCAGGCAGATCATCTGAGGTCAGTAGTTCAAAATCAGCCTGGCCAACATGGTGAAACCCCATCTCTACTAAAAAAAATACAAAAAATTAGCTGGGCGTGGTGGTACATGCCTGTAATCCCAGCTACTCAAGAGGCTGAGGGAGGAGAATTGCTTGAACCTGAGAGGTGGAGGTTGCAGTGAGTCGAGATTGCGCCACTGCACTCCAGCCTGGGCAACAAGAGTGAAACTGTCTCAAAAACACCACCACCACCACCACAACAAAACACTAATTTAGGTATTAGGTGACAGAGCAATTCTTTTACCTTTAAAAACCATAGGACATTATATATATTCAGACCTAAAGCCATGCTTACTAAAGCCAACAGCAACTCATTTTTCTTTTAGTTTTCCTTAGTTTCTTCATGTAGTACCTGTTTTAGGATGCACACTAAAAGGACTCTTCAGTAGATGATTGATTCCTTTGCTGACATTGATATCCAGCCGCGGAAAACAGTACTGGAGCATAATCTCCCACTCCAGCCAGGGTCCACATTTGTCATTTTTGATGTTATTCTAAAAGCAGATACAAGGCCAGCATGAGGATCAGTAGGAACTGTTGAGGATTTCTTTATAGAAAGTTAAAAAAATGATCTTCAACCATCTTTAACTGACTAAGCAAAACAATTTAATTAAGAATTGTATTATTATATTTATAATATAGATTTCAATGGAATATACCTGACATTTGCTGGCTGCTTTCTTTAAGTGCTCCCAACGCTGAAGTGAACTGTGAGACTTTTGGAAGTTTTGTTGAAGTTCATCATGAATTGGTGATGCATCATTAAGGAACAGACTCATTTAGGGGACATCAATGAACAAGTTAATTTTCAATATGTATTACCACAAGGGTGTGTCCTTTTTTTTTTTTTTTTTTTTTTCAGTGTCTGTAGAGACTGTCAAAAATTGCTAATGGTGACTATATTTCAAGTCTCCTGGTGGTGTATTGGGAAAATTTTTCAATTAGCGATAATCACGCCTCGGATAAACCTCACTGGCTACGATACTGCCACTGTGCAAAGCTACCACAAGGGTATCTTATAAATATTTAGACAGTAATTATTAACGTTTCTTAAAACATAAATGTTGGCCGGGCGTGTTGGATCACCTGAGGTCAAGAGTTCAAGACCAGCCTGGCCAACATGGTAAAACCCCATCTCTACTAAAAATACAAAAATCAGCTGGGGATGGTGACACATATCTGTAATTCCAGCTACTTGGGAGGCAGAGGCAGGTGAAATGCTTGAACCCGGAAGGTATAGGTTGTAGTGAGCCAAGATTGTGCAATTGCACTACAGCCTGGGTGATAGGGTGAAACTCCGTCTCAAAAAACAACCCCACAAATGTTAAAACTCAACAGTTGTATCCAGCTGGGCACGGTGGCTCATGCCTGTATTCCTAGCACTTTGGGAGGTCAAGGTGGGTGGGTCATTTGAGGTCAGGAGTTTGACACCAGCTTGGCCAACATGGTGAGACCCCCATCTCTACTAAAAAGAATACAAAAAATTAGCTGGATGTGGTGGTGCGTGCCTGTAGTCTCAGCTACTCAGGAGGCTAAGGCAGGAGAATTGCTTGAACCTGGGCGGCGGAAGTTGCAGTAAGCAAGATTGCACCACTGCACTCCAGCATGGGTGACAGAGTGAGACTCTGTCTCAAAAACAAAACAAAACAACCAAACAAACCAACACCAGTTGTATCCTGAAATCTTCCCCTGCAGAAATATTGTGATAACAAACAGAAAGGATGCCAAAATAACCAAAAGGTATAATGTAAAGTTTTCCATGGTCTGCATGTATTTTGACTATATGATTCACCATTCTTTAGCCATTAATTCCAGGACCAACTTCCAAAATGAGAAAAATGATTTGCAACATGGCCTCATTTTTTTTTTTTTTATTGTGTGCCAGACCAGAGATACTGAACTCTAGAAATACAGGAGATATTTTGTATAAAAAAGATTATACTTGTAAGTATATGAGAACCTACAAGCAGATATATCTACACATTTATAATATCACAGATCAAAACAACTAGTTAACACAGAAATGATCACAGGAAAGGATATTTTCAGGAACAAGGGCTAAAATCTTATCCCAGCTTTCTTTATTTTCGAGAATATCTTGATTAACCAAGGCATATTCTTCAAAGTATTTATTTATTATGTTTATAGATTTTCTGTAGGAACAACAATAACACAGAGTCCCAACACTATTAGCAATACATATGCCACATAGGTATTGCGGCCATTGTGGGGAAGACTACTGCTTATTTTCATGACATTTTTAGAACTTAATTAGGTAAAATGGGAATATTATCCTTTGTAGGGTTATGATAATTAAATGAGACACTTTAAGGGAAAATAACCTGGCACAGAATAGGTTTACAAGAAATGTTTACTTTTTAAACCTCACAACTTAGAAGGTTAATAGACGCAATAAAGGTAGAAAGCAACCAGCCTAGGACACCATAATACATCAGTAGTAGAATGGGGGATGCAGAAATTCACAATTTCCACTGTGAATTGCTTGTATTAACATCTCAACAATCATATAATGTTTGCAATTTACAAATATGCTTAACATTTACTCTTTCACTTAAATCATTGCCACAACTCTGTGAGACAGGTAGATGTTCTTCTCCCCATCATAGAGATAAGGAAATGGAGGCAGCAATATTTTATCAAGATCATAGTAAGTGGCAGAATAGGAATTTTTACTCCTAATGCTTTCCCACTATCCCAGAGAAGTAGTGAATTCAGTGGAAAAAGCATGGGCTTTGGAGTCACGCAGACCAGGGCATGAATCCTAAATTTAACAACTAACTTGTTGTGTGATGCCAAGCTCATTATACAATCTAAAACTCACTTTCCTTATCTATAAATGGAGATACCATCAAGTCTCTTGTGGGGTGGTTGTGAAGAGCAATGAGAACATCTATAAAGCACCTATTACGAATACTGCAGCATAAAATAGGCACTGAATTAACTATAGCTATTATTATTATAAAATGCTACCCAGCAGTGAAAATTGATAGCAAGGTAACTCTAAAGGCACATGCTGGTAAATCAGACACCTTGAAGTGCATGGAGACTTTTCCAACAGACCTGATAAAAGGGTGAATTTTTTCACTTAGGTGAACTTTCTTTTTAACGTCTTGACCACCCTGAAAAATAAATCATCAAAAAAGAACTTCATATATACAATATAAAAGAAATACAATCATGTGCAGCATAATGACGTTTTAGTTAATGATGGACAGTATATAAGATGGTGGGTCCTACCAGGAGTGGTGGCTCACGCCTACAATCCAAGTACTTTGGGAGGCTGAGGTGGGTGGATTACCTGAGGTCAGGAGTTTGTGACCAGCCTGGCCAACATGGCAAAACCCCATCTCTAGTAAAAATACAAAAAATTAGCCGGGCTTGATGGTGCATGCCTGTAATCCCAGCTACTCAGGAGGCTGAAGCAGAAGAATCACTTGAACCTAGGAGGTGGAGGTTGCAGTGAGCCAAAATCGTGTCACTGCACTCCAGCCTGGGCAACAAGAGCAACACTCCATCTAAAAAAAAAAAAAAAAAAAGATGGTGATCCCATAAGATTGTAATACTGTATTTTTACTGTGACTTTTCTATGTTTAGGTATGTTTAGCTACATCAATATATCAATACTTACCATTGTGTTACAACTGCCTACAGTATTTAGTACAATAACATGTTGTACAGGTTTATAGCCTAGGAACAATAGGTTATACCATATAATCTAGATGTATAGTAGGCTATACCATCTGGGTCTGTTTAATTATACTCCAAGACTTTTGCACAGTCATGCATTTCTCAGGATGTATCCTTGTTAAGTGATTCATAATTGTAATTTAAAAATTTATAGGGCTGGGCATGGTGGCTCATGCTGTAATCCCAGCACTTTGAGAGGCCAAGGTGGGCAGATCACCTGAGTCAGGAGTTCGAGACCAGCCTGACCAATATGATGAAACCCTGTCTCCACTAAAAATACAAAAATTAGCCAGCCATGGTGGCAGGTGCCTGTAATCCCAGCTACTTGGGAGGCTGAGACGGGAGAACTGCTTGAACCTGGAAGGTGCAGGTTGCAGTGAGCCAAGATTACGCCACTGCACTCCAGCCTGGGCAACAGAGCGAGACTGTCTCAAAAACAAAAAAAAATTCTTAGGCCAGGTGCAGTGGCTCACACCTGTAATCTCAGCACTTTGGGAGGCCGAGGTGGAAGGATAGTTTGAGTTTAGGAGTTTGAGAACAGTTTGGGCAATAAAGTGAGACCTTGTTTCTGCAAAAAATTTAAAAATTAGCTGGGCATGGTGGTGCATGCCTGTAGTCCCAGCTACTCAGGAGGCTGAGGGGGAAGGATCGCTTGAGCCCAGGAGGTCAAGGCTGCAGGGAGCCGTGGTCACACCAGTATATTCTAGCCTGGGTGACAGGGTGAGACCATGTCTCAAAGCAAAGCAAAGCAAAACAAAACAAACCAAAACACCCAAACCAGAACCAAACTTTAATATGTTCTATTATTTTATATGTAATAAATCTATTTTATCATTTTACGTATGTCACAAAGGAAGATTTATAGCAAAATGAAATATCTTAAAACATGTAGCTGCTATGGCTGGGCACTGTGGCTCACGCCTGTAATCCTAGCACTTTGGGAGGCCGAGGTGGGCGGATCATGAGGTCCGGAGATTGAGACCATCCTGGTCAACGTGGTGAAACCCTGTCTCTACTAAAATACAAAAAATTAGCCAGGCGTGGTGGCATATGCCTGTAGTTCAGCTACTTGGGAGGCTGAGGCAGGGGAACTGCTTGAACCTGGGAGGCGGAGATTGCAGTGTCTTAGATCATGCCACTGCACTACAGCCTAGGCCACAGAGTGAGACTCCATTAAAACAAAAACAAAAACAAAACAACAAAAAAAAACATGTAGCTACTATGACTTTAAATGATCTATCGGTAACTTCATTTACTCTACAATGTGAATGCCACTAAAGGTAGTTTTATTTTCTTTGACAATAAACATATCATTGTTTATTGAAAATAAAGCAGTGCAAATTAGAATTCAGAGGACCTTACCTTTACAAGGCTCAAATACTCAACTATCCCAGAACGTACTGCAGAAGACAATTTTCTAACTGATTCATCACAGACCCAACAATGAACACCTCTCCTTCCAGAATATACCCAGAGACGATGCTTAAATCCAAAGTCCTCTGAAGAGGAGAGAAATAATAGGTTTTAAAACAAATCTATAAACTCCTTAACTATTATATATTAAATTATTTGTTTCCTGTGGTCCCCATGTTCTTGCTTCATTTCTTTACCCATCCTGGCCTCTCTGCTGGGAAATTCTTTTTATTAAAAAAAAATTATTTTTAAACCAATTATTTATTTATTTTGAGATTGGGTTATGAGACTGGCTAATTTTTAAATTTTTGGTAGAGATGGGAGTTTTGCCATGTTGCCCAGGCTGGTCTCAAATTCCTGGGCTTAATTGATCCACCCACCTTGGCCTCCCAAAGTACTGGGATTACAGGCATGAGCCTCTGTGCCCAGCCTCTGCCAGGAATTTCTTTATGCCCCAGCGCTTTCAACTTTCCCTGACCAATTGCCATTTATCCGTAAAGACTTGGTCTAGGAATATTAAAAGAGCTAACATATTTACAGTGCTTAGAACAGCACCTGGCACATAATAAGACCCCTATGAAGAGTTAACTACCATCATCATCACCATTACCACCTCTGTTGACAAGCCTTTTCTCTTTTTTTTTTTGAGACAGAGTTTCACTTTCGTTGCCCAGGCTGGAGTGCAATGGTGTGATCTCAGCTCACTGCAACCTCCGCCTCCTAGGTTCAAGCAATTCTCCCACCTCAGCCTCCCAAGTAGCTGGGATTACAGGCATGTGCCAACACGCCTGGCTAATTTCTGTATTTTTAGTAGAGATGGGGTTTCTCCATGTTGGTCAGGCTGGTCTTGAACTCCTGACCTCAGGTGATCCACCTGCCTCAGCCTCCCAAAGTGCTGGGATTATAGGTGTGAGCCATAGTGCCCAGCCTGACAAGCCTCTTCTGATCCAATCTTTTCCCATTCCAGTATATACTCCTGCTGTTCAAGATCCCTAGAGCACCCTGTGTATTACTTAACACAAATGTAATCTTTGCTTTTCTTAATGGTCATCTTCTTAGACTACATAACCTATTTGAGGTATGTATTGCTATGTTTTACATTCCCCTCATCTATGATAGTACGTAACATAGGTATTAACCACTCAATTGACTGAAATGGAAAAAAAGGAGATACACTGGTTTGTTAAATAGTTATTTTAAAATTCCACTAGTACGTTATTCTTGTCTTTCATTTTCCTTTCACATGTTTAAAGGAGATATATTAGAAATTTATGAGATTTGGCCAGGCATGGGTAGCTCATGCCTGTAATCCCAGCACTTTGGGAGGCTGAAGTGTTTGGATCAAGAGGTCAGGAGTTTGAGACCAGCCTGACCAACATGGTGAAACTCTGTCTCTACTAAAAATACAAAAATTAGCCAGGCGTGGTGGTGTACACTTATAATACCAAACACTTAGGAGGCTGAAGCAGGAGAATTGCTTGAATCCAGTAGGTGGAGGTTGCAGTGAGCCAAGATTGCACCACTGCACACCAGCCTGGGCAACAGGGTGAGACTCC